CCTCCCTTGAGTGGGGCGTCTGGGTGGCTCAGCCCGTGAGGTTCCCGACTCTGGATTTCAGCTCAGGTCGTGGTCTCCGGGTCGTGGTCTTGGGGTCGTGGGATGGAGCCCCGCGTCGGGCTCCATAGCTCCATAGTCAGCGCAGGGTCTGCTTGGGACGCTCTCTCTCCCTCTGCCCCTCCCCCTGCTCACACGTGCATGCACGCTCTCTCTCTCTCTCTCTCAAATTAAATAAATAAAATCTTAAAAAAAACCAAACAAACCCCTTGAGTGTCGAGAATCTGAAAATGAGCTATGGCTCCTCGTCCCAGAAGAATGTGCAAATGCCTAGCCACACAAATTTGCATCCTATTTCCCTATAATTCCTACAGCCAGGGAATTTCAGGAAAATTTCCTACCCAGACTGGGTTCACCTTCAGGGCAGAAACAGTGTCTACTACTGATATCTAATACGTGCTCTACCACGTGCTTTTCCTTCATTATCTCTTTGATCCCTTGAAACCTCCCCGTGCTGTAGGCACAGGTATTATCCCCATTTGATAGATGAGGAGATAAGGCTCAGAGGCCGTGAGTTACTTGGCCACTGTCACAGAGCCCATGAGGGACGGGGAGGGGACTTAAATGCAGGCGCTTTGAAGGGGAAGGTGAGACCCAGGTGAGCTTGGGGGCCCAGCACTGAGCAGGAGGTTTGGAGACTGGTCCTGAGCAAAGGCTGGGGAGAAGGAGCTGCTGGAGCCTCCCGGGTCGGGGCTTAGAGATGTTAAAACCTGCTCGGTCTAGATGGCTGTTTGCTTTGCTTCTTGCCCTTCCTTCTCCTCTTCTTCCTCCTTTTTTTTTTTTTTGAATGACAATATTTGATTTTCTTATAAAGAAGTCTTTCGGCCTTAGAAAGAGTCTTTTAAATATAGAATTGGAAATATAGTGCTCTCTCTGTGACAGCTCACAATGAATACAGCAGAGGCAGAGCCCCCCCCCCCCAAGGGAAACTGGCTGGGGATTTTTCCGTTGGCTTTAAAAAAAAATTATTTATTTACTTTTTTTGGACCAGGTAATGCATTCACATGGTTCAAAAATCAAAAGGTACAAAAAGGAACACAGTGCAAGTCTCTCTCGTCCCCCTGCCACCTGCCACCTGGTTTCCCTGCCTGGAGGCAACTGAGGTGCCCCAGTTTCTTGTGTATCTTTCCAAAGATGTTTTATGCAAATATAGGCATATCCAATACATACATACATATATATACATACATACATATATATATATATAATTTCTTTCTTTAAATGGTTCTTTTCTTAACCCTTGAGTTGCAGACACAAACACTCTTCTGTCTCTCGTCTCTCTGGCCCCTGTGCATGCCTCGGAGATAGTGGAGGCCCGCAGGGATCCTGGGAGCACTGGGTTTTCCTCAGTTTCCAGGACCATTTTCATGGCAGACCCCCACACACAACGCTTTAGAGACTTTTCAAAGTCCTTCCATATGTGATAATTCACCAAGCACTCACGATGGCCCAGGCGCTGTAGAAATTCTTTGCCCCACTTTCCGGGCAAGGAAACAGACCCAGAAGGGAGTCGAGTAACTTGCTGAAAAGCACACAACTAATGTCCTTGTGTGGGGAGGGCCGGGGAGCAGAGCGGGGCTTGGTCCAGCTTGGACTTTGGAAGCAAGAAGAAAGTTGTTTACTCCCAAGTCACAGTTTAAAAATATTTTGGTGGCGCTAGGTGTGGGGCAGTGGGGGGAAAAAAAAAGTAAGGAAATTCGCAGTTTCAGCCGGGCTTGCTTCCTGGCTCTGCCACTTACAACCGGGTAAGTTACTTCACAGTTTGTAGCCTCAGTTTGCTGATCTAGAAAGTGGGGATGATAATACCCACCCGGCGGGGTGGAGAGGAACAGAGCGTAAAAGAGAGCGATCTATAAAATGGGGCCGATTCCGATGCTTGCTTTGCATTATTATTATGGTTATTCTGACCGCTCCTTGTGGGAGGTTCCTGAAGGGAAGGCAGGCTCACACCGGGTACAAAGCTGCACTGCCTTTAAGCCACCAAACCTAAAAAAACCCTCTCTGGCCCAGTGAATTGTAAATCGGGAGCCCTCCAGCCTGGCCGCTCTTCCTTGCTAGCTCAGAGCCTCCTGGGTGGTTAGAACAGCCCCGGGGCCTGAGCACAAACTCTTCCTCAGTGGGTGTCTTGAATTTACTTTGATCTGTAACTTTCCCTGCAGATCAATTCTTTTTTTTTTAAAGTTTATTTTTCCAATTATAAAACTAGAATGTGCTGATGAGAGAAAATTTGGAAAATATTGAAAAGGAGAAGGAACAAAAATGAAACCAATCTTTACACCTTCCTCCTCCACAGAAGCCCACTTCGGTAAATATTTTGGTGTATTTCCTTCAAGTCTTTTTTACCCTTAGGCACTTATGATAATTCTTAGCAGAGCAATTCTTTTTCTTTTCTTTTCTTTCTTTTTTTTTTTTTTTACAGCTTTCCTAAAGTATAATTGTTATACCAAAAGTGGCACATATTAAATGTGTACAATTTGGGGGACGCCTGGGTGGCTCAGATGTTTGGGCGTCTGCCTCCGGCTCAGGTCATGATCTCGGGGTCCTGGGATCGAGCCTCGGATCGGGTTCCCAGCTAGGCGGTGAGTCTGCTTCTCCCTCTCCCTCTGCCTCTCCCCTTGCTTGTACTCTCTCTCTCGTGTGTGTCTCAAATGAATAAATAAGGGATCTTTTAAACCATGTGTACAATTTGATGACTTTAGACTGTAGGCAGCAACTCTTCTTGCTGGCTTTGTGAATGCTGTGCCCACCTTTGGGTATTTCAATTTTGATTTTCATTTTTTAAAGATATTATTTATTTATTTGAGAGAGAGAGAGAGAGAAAGAGATTGTAAGAGAGAGCATGAGTTGGGGGGGCAGAGGGAGAAGCAGGCTCCTTGATGAGCAGGGAGCTCCCTGGGGGGCTCGATCCCAGGACCCCAGGACCATGACCTGAGCCAAAGGCAGACGCTTAACGGACTGAGCCACCCAGGCGCTCCTCGATTTTAATTTTTTTAAAAATGTAAAACTATTTCTAGTTCTATACATGGGATTGTTTTCTTTTTTTTTTTAAAGTATTTTATCTTTATTTTTTTTTAAAGATTTTATTTATTTATTTGAGAGAGAGAGAGAGAAACAGCATGAGAGGGGAGAAGGTCAGAGGGAGAAGCAGGCTCCCCACTGAGCCGGGAGCCTGATGTGGGACTCGATCCTAGGACTCCGGGATCATGACCTGAGCCCAAGGCAGTCGCTTAACCAACTGAGCCACCCAGGCACCCGGGAATGTTTTCTTTTTAAAAAGATTTTGTTTTGGAAGTAATCTCTACACCCAACGTGGGGCTTGAACTCATAACCTCAGGATTACGAGATTATGAGTCACACGCTCACTCACTGCCTGAGCCTGCCAGGGGCCCCAGGCCTAATCTTTTCAACAAGAATCAGGTGAGTGTGGTGCCCTTTCAGGAGCAGGCCTGGCCCCTGGGAGGCCTCTGGGAGGCCCCTGGGAGGCCCTGAGGGGGTCAGTGCTCAAGCTTGCTCTGGGGCACTCGGTCAGGGCTGGGGCTCAGTTGGCAGTGGCAGGCACGGTGAGGAGAAGATGGCACAGGCTGTCCACTGCGGAAAAGTTCCTTTTCGTTCAGGTCCGTTCCCCTTGAATGGAAACTAGAGCACCAGCATTTACCACTTTCCCGGGTGGTTGCCTCTCGGGGGTGAGGCCTTCCAGGAATTTGGGGTGACGGCTTTGGAGGTGGATCCCCTGGAAAGGCTTGGGATAGGGGAGCCTGCCGCCGGACCAAGCAAGCCTGTGAGACAACAAACCCTGCTGGGTGGTCTCCCGTAGGCTAGGAATTCGGAGTTCCCATTTTGCCTTCCTTGGCCTCCCCCTACCCCCAACTGCTCCCGTTCAGTGCCTCCCTCCTCTTCTTCTTCTTTTTTTAATCCCCTTTCTTTTTGGTATAAGTAAGACTGCCCTTAAGCTGAGAATGTATAATTAGAATAGTGGGCACTTGGAGTGACTGGTATTCCCAGCCAACCAGGCGCCCCGATGCTGTTTAATAAAAGCTTGGTTATTCCCATCCCGGATCCGGTCAAGGCTTTTTCCACTCCCTTCTGCGGAATGCCCATCCCCCTCTCAGAGGCCTGGAGAAATACAACTCACCCTAGGAGAGGCCTGGCTCAAATATCACTCCCTTTGAAACGCTCCGGGATGCTGTCCTGGCCCGGGCGAGTTGCTCTTTCCTCGATGCTCCCCCAGCTCTGGATTCATGTTGGTGGCAGAGCGCGAAAGGGGGTGGTATCTGGTTCTTCCCTTCCTTTGCCCTGCCTGGGAGTTCCTAGATGGCTAGGATGGGGCTGTGTCCTTGTCTCAGACCCCAGCCCCGGTAATTGGAGGAGCTTCATAGATATTCCGGGAATCAAGTGATGAGATCATGATGTTTCGATGTCCCTTCTGCTTCCTCATCTCCCTGGTTATTCTTCGTCCCCATTTTGCCACCTTCTCTTCCTCTCGCCCCCAGATGACAGTACCAACTGGATCCCGTTTTCATCAAGTGCGCTGATCATCTACACACCATGGGGGAAATATCCTTGCTGTCCATTAAAACGCCTCTCCTTCGATCTGCAGGCCACCTACCCTTCCCATCCCTGACTCGCTCCCCAGGCGGGGGATGGCTCCTCCCCAGGGTGACAGAGCGCCCTCTTCTTGGTTGCAGTGTCTGTATTCCCATGAGGCCTGGATGGGCCCCAGCACAGGACAGAGCTTGGCCGTGTGTCGCCAGGACTTGGTAGGGCCACCCTAGTTCCTCCGTGAGGGCAGGTGGGTGGTGGTGGGGGTTTGTGGGGGATCCAGCGCTCAGAGTCAGCTTCCATGGAAGCAGCAGTGTTATTCTCGACGCTTTGGTGAGAGGAAATGTTCAGAACTGTGAGTGCTGTCAGGGGCACTGTACAACGAGGACAATGGGACAAAGAGGTAGGTTTTCAAAGATTTTATTAAAAAACAAAATAGATCCAGAATCCTAAAAACAACACAGGTAGATTTCTCCCCACCTCCCAGTCTGCCAATCAGTCCCCCTCCCCTAAGACTCCATCTGGATGGTCCTGAGGCCCAAACCCTGCTCCTGGCTCCCCCCACCCCGCAAACCAGTGACCAAAGCTCCACGCTTTTCTCCAGCATCTGATGTCTCCTTTAAGAAAATAAAAATGCCCCCTCCCCGACTTGCTTAAAAATAATTTTCAAAGATTAAAAACGGCATTTGTGTGTTTTTTAAAAAATAAACACTTCAAATGCTGGAAATCTCTCTCTTCCCCTAGGCCTAGTTGAGGCCTCTGGGGTGCCTGCCTGCCTCACCCCAGGAGGCCAGCTGCTACTTGGTGCCCCTTGGAAATTTTCAGGAAGTAATTTCTTCCAAATCTCCCCTGCAGTCACAAATTCCACACGCTGCTCGCATAAACACGCTGTCTTCATTACCAGCACTGCTCCTCGGCTCTGGAAACATGATCTCTTTTTGTCAACTAGACCACATGCTTCAGATTCCCTGCAAACAGGAGAGAAAACAAAATTCAAATTCAGGTAACATGTGTGGATTATACCTCAATAAAGCTGTTTTTTTTTTTTTTTTAAGCACTCACATTTTGGGGCTTTTTCTCTTGCTGCTCTTGGGAACCCAGAGACCCCAACATATGAACAAGCCCAGGCTAGGCTGCTGGACGGTGAGAGACATATGACTCAGTCACCCTCACAACCAGCGGTTACCCACCCGCAGAGTGAGTGAGGCCTTTGGCAGCCCGCTGATGGCGGTGCTGGGTGAACCCAGCCAAAGCTGGCAGAAAAACCGCCCGGCTGAGCCCAGCCCAACTGCCAATCCACAGAGTTCTGAACTACACAAATGATTATTTTAAGCCACTCGCTTGTGTGTGCAAACCACACACACACACACACATTCAGGCAGTGTTTTAGAGTTCACACTTCACTAGCTGCATCAAATCTTCCCCCACCTTCAACCTTTCTTCCTGGCTTAGCTGGGCACAACCCTCCTAGCATTTTCTCTTGTGACCACCTATGGAATATGAACGGGGGGCTTTCCCCTGCCCTCGGGCCTAAGAGTCTCTTAGGGAAAAGTGAGCACCTGAAATCCTACAGGACTGAGCTCCACGAATGAAAAATTTGCTCACTTCGTCTCTCCACAGCCTTCTCCTAGCCCCACTTCCCCAAGGAAACACTGGGCTCCAGACCCTACTGACAACTTTTCTGAAACAGGGAAGAGTGCGCCATGAGGGCAGGGACCCGGGCTGTCTTACTTTTGGCTGATTGCCAAAGTCTAGCACAGTGCCTCACCCATTAGCAGGTGCTCAATAAATGGCGGAATAAATGGAGGGAGGAAGGAAAGGAAAAAACAAATCAGGACCCACTTGCTTATCTAGTCTTATTTATTTATTTAATAAAGTTTATTTTTTTATTTTAGGAATAATGTTTATTGGGGCGCCTGGGTGGCTTAGTCATTAAGCGTCTGCCTTCAGCTCAGGTCATGATCCCGGGGTCCTGGGATCGAGCCCCGCGTCGGGCTCCCTGCTCAGCGGGAAGCCTGCTTCTCCCTCTCCCACTCCCCCTTAAAAAAAAAGGAATAAAGTTTATTTATTTTTTTAGTAATCTCTACAGCCAACATGGGGCTTGAACTCAGGACCCTGAGATCAAGAGTTGTATGTTTTTTTGACTGAGCCAGCCAGGCGGCTCTCTAGTTTTAGTTTTAATTTTAAATTAACATGCAGGAAAACTGACTTGATTTGTATGTGCAGGTCTATGATTTTTTTCTTTTTTAAAAAAGATTTTATTTATTTATTTGACAGAGAGAGACCCAGTGAGAGAGGGAACATAAGCAGGAAGAGTGGGAGAGGGAGAAGCGGGCTGCCCGCTGAGCAGGGAGCCCAACTTGGGGCTCGATCCCAGGACCCTGGGATAATGACCTGAGCTGAAGGCAGACGCTTAACGACTGAGCCACCCAGGTGCTCAGGTCTATGATTTTTAACACATGTATGGATTCCTGGCACAGAACAGTCCCATTACCCTCCCAAATTCCCTGTGCTATCCCTTGGCAGTCACATCCTCTCCTTCACCTCATACCACCTGGCAATCACTGACCTATTCTCATCGCTATAAGTGTTGCCTTTTTGAGAAAGTCATATGAACAGAATAAAAAAAAAGTGTCTCGTTTTTATTTTGGCCATTTCTATAGGTGTGTAGAGATCTCTCACTGTGGTCTCCGTTTGCATTTTCCTAATGGCTAATGATGTTGGACATCTTTTCATGTGCTTATTTGCCGTCTGTATATCCTCCTCCTGTCTTTTGCTAACTGGATTTTTTTTTTTTTTTTTTTTTTTTTACTGTTGAGGTTGGAGAGTTCTTTATATATTCCAGATACAAAGCTGTTGTTAGATATATGATTTGCAAATATTTTATCTCAATATGTAACTTGTCTTTTCATTCTCTTAACTGTTATTTCTTTTTAAAAAATATTTTATTTATTTATTTGCCAGAGAGAGCGAGCGAGCACAAGCAGAGGGGAGTGGCAGGCAGAGGGAGAAGCAGGCTTCCCGCAGAGCAGGGAACCCAATGTGGGGCTCGATCCCGGGACCCCAGGATCATGACCTGAGCTGAAGGCAGACGCTTAACCCACTGAGCCACCCAGGTGTCCCATCATTCTCTTAACTCTTGCAAAATAAAAGTTAATTTGTGGATCATATTTTTGGTGTTTTAAAGCCCGAAGCTCATCATTTCTGGACCATCTTTGATTCTTCATCTCTTAGTTCAAGTCTCCTCCACATCTAATGAGTTGCCAAGCCTAACCTCAAGATGCCTCACAGCTCTGTCCTCTCCTTTCTGTTCTACTGTCTCGAACTTAGTCACATCTCTCATCACCCGGGTCACTGCAATAGCCTCTTCACTGGTGCTCCTGCCTCTGGAACTGTACCCCCACACAATCACTAGCTGTGATCACATGCCTCCCCTGCTCCAAAAATCCTTCAGCAGCTCCTCACTACCTACAAATGAAGTCCAACACCTTAGCTTAAGTGTGCCCCATCCATACTTTCCCATCTCCATGTGGGCCTTTGCAATGATACATTGCCCCTGCTGAGGAAATCCCACAGGGGATCCTGATGCTGAAGCTAGGGGTCCTTCCAGCTCTAAGTGTAGCCAGAGCTCGATGATGAAAGAGTGACTGCACAGAGAAACAAAATTCCATGTCCAAGTATTCCAACAACATGTGTTCACACAAAGGAAAGGTGGGTGCTGTACTCTCTGCTGCTCTGTCTCGCTCTCCAGTGACATTTGGAGGCAATTAAGAAAAACAACAAAAATAATTTCCACCCAAAGTTGATGATGAGCAATATTGAGTTTGGGTAACAATAACAACGTAAGCTTAAATAATGCCCATTGTTTCCCCCGCACGTCTAGCTTTTCCAACAGTGGGTGGCAGCCTGAGAAAATTCTAAAGGCCAGCATGGTCTGGGGCCTGGGGAGACCCAGAGTACAGACCAGAGGAGGAAAACACAAATGCTTATAGAGGCCAAGAATGCACTGTATGTGAGTCAAGCTGATTGGGGGCAAGATGTATGGAGCCTTCTTGAGCCTTTGTTCTTTTTTCTTATTTTGAGTCATGACATGAGGATAAGAAATAGTTCCCTTTTTTCCCTAATTCTATTACAAAAGAAAACAAAACCAAAGCAGTGTAAGTGAGATGGACAAATGGAAATTCACACTTGGCTAGGGTAGGACAGACGAGAGGGAATGGTGGGGCTTGTGGCAAAGAGGATGGCACACGTTCACGGAAAGGGCAGCTGCAACCCAGTCACTGTGCAGGAAGGTGGGCCCCGTGTGACCAGATCTCTTCATTTTCCAAGGGAAGGCAGACATTTCCATTTGTATGCAAAGTTTCCACAGTGTTAAATGCGGACAACTGCTCTACACTTTTTAAGATATCGACATGTGAGGCCAAATAAAACAATTTTGGAGGCAAGATGTGGCTCACAGTCTCTGGGTTTGTGATCTCTGGGTTAGCTCCGGGGCAGTTCGTACTTACACCTACAACACCCCACTTCATCCTCAAATATCGTGGTTTGGACAATACATTATATCATCATCCTGCCTCTGTTGTCTAAGAAGGAGTACTGAATTGGGACCCAGGAGGCCTGGGTTCCATTGATTCATTGACTGACTGACAGACTCATTTGTTCATGCATTTATTCAATAAACATTTATGGAGTATCTATTCTTTGCCAGGCACTAGGTGCTGGTGAATGCTCTCTTTAGTCCCCCCCCCTTTTTTTAAGTTAATAGACTTTATTTTTAGAGCAGCTTTAGGTTTACAGAAAAACCGAGCAGAAAGTACCAAGAGTTCTCATATCCTCCTGCCTCTTGCCTCCCCTGGCAGGCAGTGCCCCCCCCACATCAACATTTTGCATTAGCACGGTACATTTGTTATAGGTGACAAATGAATATGGACACACGATTATTAAGTAAAATCCAAAGTTTACATTACGGTTCACTCTTGCTGTTGTACAATTCTATGAGTTTTGACAAGTGTATAATGTTATGTATTCACCATTATAGTATCATACAGAATAGTTTCACTGCCCTGAAAATCCCGTGCTGCACCTATTCATGCCTCCCTTCCTTTCCCCAAAGCCCTGACACCCACTGACCTGTCTCTCTAGTTTTGCCTGTTCGAGAATGTCATATGGTTGGACTCACAGGGTATGCAGCCTTTACAGACTGTCTTCCTTCACTTAGCAATATGCACTTAAGTTTCCTCCACGTCTTTTTGTAGCTTGAGCGTTTATTTGTTTTTCGCGCTGAAAAATATTCCATTGTCTGATACACCACAGTTTGTTTATCCATTTATCTACTGAAGGACATCTAGGTTGCTTCCAAGTTTTGGCAATCATGAATAAAGTGGCCCTAAATATTCATATGCAGGTTTTTGGGTGGACATGAGTTTTCAACTTATTTGAGTAAATAGCAAGGAGTGCAACTGCTGGATTGTATGTTAAAACTTTGGAAGAAACTGCCACTTGTCTTCCAAAGTGGCTGTATCATTTTGCATTCCCACCAGCAATGAATGAGACTTCCGGTTGTCCCACATCCTTGCCTGCATTTGGTGTTGTCAGTGTTTTGGTTTTTAGGTATTCTAATAGACATATCGTGGTATCTCATTGTTTTAATTTGCAATTCCTTAGTGACAGGATAGTGACCATATTTTCATACACTTATTTGCCATTTGTCTATCTTCTCTGGTGAGGTGTCTGTTAAGGTCTTTGGCCCATTTGTTAATCGGGTTGTTGTTTTCTTATTGTTGAGTTTTAAGAGTTCTTTGTATATCTTGGATACCAGTCCTTTATTACTTATGTGTTTTGCAAATATTTCTCGCAGTCTGTAGCTTGTCTTTTTATTCTTGTATTCTTCACTTTTTAAAATGTAGAGCAGCGGGGCGCCTGGGTGGCTCAGTCAGTTGAATGTCCGACTGTTGGTTTCAGCTCAGGT